CCCTTCAGGCAGCTCAGCCGCAGCCTGGGGTGCGATGAAATTTCCTCTCGTTAGTGTTTAAGGATGTTTTTTCTCCCTCGTAGGGAGGAACTGGCCGCTTATCAGTTGCGTTCAGCTCTTTATGCCGTCGGAAGGAGAGGATCCATAAACGGGAGCCATCTCTGCTTCCAAATTTTTAAGTAGGAATTATTCTTGCAACGGTTATTCCAACTTTAGGACTTTAGTTCATAAAGTTACCTGAAACTAAATATCCTGTGGTGGGCAAATAAGAATTGAGCACATACAGAACTTATCTTCAGATACACATCTCTGAGTCTTGCATCTGATAAACAAGTCTAGACTGTGACTTAACTTTGGGCATAAGACTTAACTCGGCTTTTCATCAGTTCCAGACCTCTCCTGAATTTTTCTGTTTTAGGGCCTTGATAAAGCAAATATGTTTCCTCTCATACGACTGTGCTGCTTCCATACACCTTTCAAAGTAAGTTTCTGAACCCTTTTTTTTCCGTTTCATTTTTACTTTTTTAAAGTAAAATAGCAAAAAGTATGACTGGAACACTGGGGAAAACCAAAGTGAATTTTAAGTTGGAGTAGCCCCATGTTGATTTATCACTGAGCCTTTCCGAAAAGTTTCCTAGTTTGTACAGCAGCTTTGAGCCAAAACTAAGATACTCATTTTATAAAATAAAATTTTGTTTAAAGGTCTTTTTTCCTCTCTTTTTAGTAGAATAGTGAGGAGATAGTAACTGGTTTCTGGGGTGACTTTATCCTACTTCTGTAATTATTTTATATTCTACTCTAAGAAGGAATAAGGTATCTTAACCCAAACCATTCTATGATTCTATCATAAATGGCTAAAGAATGCATGTGTGGGTGGGAGTATTGGTGGATACACAAACCTTTTGTAGTGAGTAAAGTTTGCTTACTCACTATGAGGAACCTAATTGTTCTTCATCAGCTAACTTGTGAAAGCTGTATCAGTTAGCATTAGTGAAGTTAAAAACATTTCAAAACCAAGAGGATAGGCAGCTGTTATGGGACCTGACTTGGAAAACTGCTTGGTACAGTATTTTGTAGATCCTAAGCCTACATTTTAAGGTGTTCAGAATGAGTTTTATACTTGCAGCTCCAGAAGTTAACTGCTCCCAGGCTACTACTTCACGGAAAGAATAAGACAACTTGCTCTTCTCTTGGCCTCTGGCTGCAGAGAGATGTGTGTCCTCTCCCAAGATCTCCATGCCTCAACGCAGCATCAGTACATGCAACCAAGCTTCAGGCTCTTCACACCTCTCTCCCTTTCTTCAAGAAGAAAACCCCCAAAGAATATGAGATCAAAGACCCTGGCGTCTTGCAACGAAGTATGGAATCACTAAAGGATTCTCCTAAGCCAGCCCTTTACTTAAGCATTGCAGGGCTGATTCCGTTTGTTTCTGTGCCACTGTCAATGGCCATCCTAGGGACCTACCACCCAGAGGTGGCATTTGCTCAGATTATGTATGGTGCTGTGACAGTCTCTTTCCTAGGAGGGATGAGGTGGGGGTTTGCTCTCCCAGAAAACAGCCCAGCCAAGCCAGACTGGCTGAACCTGGCTAACAGTACTATTCCTCCTCTATTTGCCTGTCAAGCCTTGCTCTTTAAAGATGTCACTCAAGGTGCAGTAATGCTAGTAATGGCCTTGGGGATAGCACTGCATTATGATGTTTCCCTTCTTCCTACTTATCCTAGGTGGTTTAAAGTACTGAGGGTAGTGGGAACATTGGTGATGGTATTCTCACTATTAGCTACTGTGGCACTGAAGGCTGTTTCAGAGATAGAGCAAAGTAAGAGCAGTAATGAATGGCGGAGCACAAAATAATAGATCAACAGGAAAAAAGCTATTTATCTGCCAGTAAGGGATTTGTACTGAATTCCAGAAGTAAAAACTTGTGCTTAGAAGTCATAAGATGGCAGGGATCATGATGCTTTTTTGTGAAGCAAACAACTTAGCTAGTTTAGGAGGAAAGGATTGTAAATAGCAATGACTTCCAAGGCAGGCATGAGTCTGTCCTTATTTGTAGAACAAAGCATCACTCTTGAGTGAGATGCTACTGAAGTTAAAATGGAGATTCAAATGACATGGGTATGAATTGCTCTATGCTGAATCATTAAAGTATCTGGTGTAACTATAATGTGTGATAATATTCTATGGTGGGGAAAACAGCTGTGTAGTCATACACAGTAATGAGGTGAAAGTTCTAGTTTAGTGTTTAAAGAAGCAGCAGAGAATTATGCAAAAGGACACACATGTTCAATTCCTATGTTGTGGAACAAAACTCTCAACTGAGAAGGTGCTGAAATTGCTATGTGATTAAGTGGTAGTCGGGCAAGAAAGGACAGGCAAGGTCCATTGGCAGGGGCAAGGCAAGGTAGAACTTGCCTAGAATATGTCATCCAGGTGCTGTAACGGATTGGGGACAGCTAGAATCATAGAATGGTTGGGGTTGAAAGGGTCCTTAAAGATCACCTTGTTCCACCCCCCTGCCATGGGTAGGGACATCTTCCACTTGATCAAGTTCCTCCAAGCTCCTGTGTCCAACCTGGCCTTGAACACTGCCAGGGATGGGGCAGCCACAGCAGCTCTGGGCAACCTGTTTGTCTCAGACCAGGTAGAAAAGGACTTGTAGCCTGCAAGCCCTCCATGATGAGCCAGTTACTGAAAACGCTGCAGAAGCATATGCTTTTTGTACTTAAGTCTCCTAAAACATCATTTAGGGGAAAGAAGATAAAACTTAAGTCAGATGGATTTTCTTTCCTAGACTCAGCTGTTTCAAGAAACCTATGACATTTTATGTCAGTATATTTACTGTAGGCTTTTTAAGTATTCTTTATGTACAGTGTAAGATGTAAGAAAAAAAAGCCTGAAAAGTGACATCCACACACAGTCTTAAGACAAATTTAGATACTCCTCATTGTTTTCTTAATGCAGTATTCTTCACTGTTGCTCTATACAGAGTAAAGCACTTGAAATTTTTATCTGTTCTTTCTGCAAAGAACAGATAGATAGATGCTGAAGAAAGACCTGTGTATCCCGAAGAGATACATCTTCTTTATGGTATTGCTGAAATAGCAACTATATACGTGAGCCTCTACCTTTTGCAACATGTTAACCTTTACATGTTAACAGCATCATAGGTGTGAATAATGTATTTCAGCACTTTCTGAATATAAAGGAAGTAAAACTGAGTCTGTGAATGAAAACAGTTCTTCTAGTCCTTCTTACTTACATGCGGTGTTTTTTTAAGACAGCGCTCTTCTCTGGACCTGCCTTTGCTTTAATTCAGGGAAAGGAGTGCAGACTATCAGAGAACATAATCAACCAACTTCAAAGTTTCACTCAAACATGATAGAATCAGCTATAAAAACTGGAAAAGGTGACTTCATACAACAGCAGACTCCCTTAAGCTCCACAGATCCAGGAAGTTTATGGGTAGGGATTAGAAGTGAACTCCTAGTTCTCAAACTAATAAAATACAGCTAAAGTAATGATCCTCAAATAGTTCCATGAGGGATCCTGAAAGTAAAGAAGAAAGCCTATGAGATATAACCTATCATTTGATCACAGAGAGGGCTGCAGCATTAGCAAGGCAGCTAGGCTTCCAGGAAAAGAAATACACAAGTATTTTACTACTAGTGTGTTACTCACAACTTTCAAATAGCCAACACTTATAAACAATCTTTTCCTAGTGTCCTGCAAGGAAATAGGATTTCCAGTAAAGAAAGGGGGAGAGGAAAAAAAAAAAAAAAAGGACCTTTTATTTGAAAGTAGCAGTGACAGGAAGCCAACCTATTCAAGAGCATTCCACAGTCGGTTCTGAAAATGCATTTTATTATGAAAAGCTATTTAAAACAAGCTTAAACTTGGAAAAAAAATACAACAGGATAGACATTAGTTCACACACATAAGAAATCTTTGAAGTAAAAGCATACACAAGCTTATAGAACAATCAGAGAAACAAATGTTCCATCATCAAGCATGTTTCAGTCTGGCACTCTCCCAACCGTATGTTAGAATGTAAGAGCAAGATTCTTACAGTACCCGCAAAGCTCACCTTGGAGGATTTTATTCATGTATTAATTTGTTAATTTTACAGAGGGGATACTGACTTAGCATGAATGCTCCTTTGTCTACATAGTGCAGGCTTCTGGTTTTGTGACATTCCAGTTGTGGTTTTGTATTCTAGAATAACACTATCAAAGTCCAAGCAACCTTATTTCAGACTCCATCCAAATCATCCACAGCTGTGCAGAAAATGCAATCATATTGTGCAAAAAGCAACTTCAAGTATGTTAATTAAATGAATCTAGAAATAACTCCAAACTCTTAGTATTGTTCTACTAAGTGTATCTAAGTTCCTTACACAAACCCCCTAAGACAAAACGCACTAATAGCATCACTTCAATGCTGAATGCAGCTAACTATCACAAAAACCTCCGTTTGCTCAAGTCTGGAAGAGGCAGGATATCAGATGTAGCAAAGATGGAGGTGTGTACCTTGTAGAATAGCATGTATTGCAATGCCAAGCCTCTGTGTGTTACACAGGATAAAACCATGTTTAACTACAGGGGGGTGGGAGCAAAAGGTTTTCACTACATTTTTATACTAAGAGCAGTCCTAAACAGAACAGCTAATCTAATGAATAGCATTTCCATTTAAAATTCATAAGAGCGTACACAAAAAGGAGGTCTACTGTGATCACTGATACCACTGAGTAGTAAAGCCGCTGCTGAAGTGGAATGACATTATTAGAACTGTGAGAACGATCTTCCAAACCAGGAAAATCTCAGCCACTTGCCACCCAAGTTAGTGGAGTGGCCAGAAAGTAAATATCCAATTCATATGTAATGCCCATCATTTCCAGCAGCAGCAAAGAGGCTCAAATGCAATGAGGTTGTAAGTAGACGTACCAAGTCTTCCCCACCTGTTATCTTCCTTTTTTCCCCCCCATCAGAAAAAGAAAACTAATGCTAACCAAGTAACCCACCTGCTCTTATCTACAGGTAATTCCTAGCTGTCTATAGTAATCTTCTTCCAGACTGTAAAAGCAGCTAAAGATGTTAACTTTGGTGCACCTGACAGAGTTAACTATCTGGTTACTGCCTCTAAGGTGCTGGAATGATTTCTTCAGATTCCTACAGGGCATATTCACCACTTGTTTCAGTAAGCTAAATGGAGTCAGAGTCATTCCTACTCTTAATAGGATACTTCCCGAGACAGACATCGGATAAGCCAATTTACTTTGAAGGGCAAGACTTTTAATACTTCCTTTTGCTTAGGAAAAGCCCTCTGATCTAGTTCTCCACTGTCTCTACTGAAGCTCCTGTATTAAGTTTCTGGTCAATGAAACCAGAAATCTGAGGAGGCAGATTTACTCATTCCTTGAATAAGTTTTCTTTATTGTGTTTTACAGCACAGCTACACCTCCTTCACAGCGGCTGGTGATCATGTTGGCAATTTCAGTCCAACTGTCCATATGAGGGTTATAAACTTCAACAGAGTCAGAGGTTACCGGAGCAGCAAAATCATGACTGGGAGCTCGGCCTCCTGAGGCATAAAGAAATCCATTCACACCCACAACACAGACACCAGCTCTCGGTATCTTCATTGATGCAACTTCAACCCACTTTTCCTAATGAGAAGGTGAAATAGTCAGCAACTAGTTTTGGGGCAAGCCCCAATTCTGATAAAAGTTTAAAGCTTAAAGACCAAAATATATACAAAGAACACTACATACACACTTCACAGGCTTAGGTATGGTATGTGTACGTTATCAAGAGGATTATCAGGACCGGAATGACAGCACATTCACAAGCAGTCCAAATCATGCTAGTCACTAAAGAGTCACATAATGTCTGAACACAACTCCTCTCCCTTTCCTCAGTCACTGCAAGATGCAGTCTGCCTCCAAAATAGAGACTAGTACACAGTTTGAGATGGAAAATAAGGAAAAATTGGATTAGATTACAAAAGCAAAACAGAATGGCACACTGGATTATGATCTGCTTTTAATAGTAGCTACTGCTCCAAAGAGCATCATAGGAACATGAGCAATAACAGTCCGGAATAATTTATTATCTTATCCAAAAGTTTAAGTGGTCAAAGTGATTTTTCCAGTTGAGCTGAAACATAACTACATTTTGAAGTGAAATAAAGATCCTCAACTTCTTCAAAGGGCAACTCTTCCTTTTTCAGGAAGTATTTTCTCTTTAGTCAGATAATTGCTCATTCTGTTGCAGAGGGGGAATCTATCACCCATCTTAACCCTAATACATATTTACCAAAGGACAGTATATCTATGCATCATCAGTATTGGTTTGCTTTCAGTTTTGCAAAAGCCTGCATGCAACTTTGTAAACACTCCACTAAGCTGGACAGCAGGATTCTACAGACTGGTTAGGACAGACAGATGCTGAGGTCACTGAGGCTTTGTTCCACCCACATCAGCAGCCAGTAGTGAAAAGGCAATGGAACTTCCAACTTTTTTCCTTGTAAAGAAAGGAAGCAGGCCCCCTCTAGTGCATCTTACACAAAGTTGTTGCAATCTACATTTATGAAAGATAGGGACTCTACCATACCTCTTCAAAGGAGTATTTCTCCACAGTAGCAAGTGCATCCTGAGCTTCATTCCAGCCTCCCACAGCATAGATACAATCGTTGAGAGCAGCTACACCAAGATACGCTCTTCGTGTGCCCATCGGAGCAAGCTCAGACCAACGTTTAGATATTGGGTCGTAGACTTCCACAGAACGTAGCTCTACTCCTTCATTGCTGATACCACCAACAACATAAATCAAACCTGTAGAAACAGTTTCTCCTCTGTTAGGTTTCATAATACAAAGGTCTGAAAGACAGTAAATGTCTGTCACAATACAAGTTTCAGCCTAATACTAAGATGGCTTAAGAATGCCAGATAAAAATCCTCCATTTGTCCATTAGTAACAGACACACAGCTTTCAAGTAAGTACCTTGAGGCTCAAGCACTAAAAGCTCTGATGAAAGCAATAATTAATCAAGTGTGGGGGAGAGAATTCAGAAGGCTGCTGACCAGGCCTGGATCAAATGCTTAATAAGCACATTTATAGATCAAGTCTTTAGACATGCCTGTCTTAAAGTGATGTGTGGCAACTCATCAGATGGTCATAAAGAAACACACGCAAACCCAAATATGAAAGGTAAATAAAAGCAGTTTTGGGAATAATAGCTGTATAACCGTACCAGCAGCCACATAAAACCTGTGAGATCATGAGACAAAAGGCAGAAGACAGAAAGAACTTTATATACAGTCTTTCAGTTCTCCATTAGAAGAATTAGAAGAACAAGTAAGTGAGGCACAATCATGTACAACTGACAGCACAGTACAAGACAAAGGTAGAAATTCATGACCAAAACATAAAGCTTCAAAATCCAGTGCATCTCAGAACTGTTTATGGTTACAAACTTAATATTCACCTTGCATTTCACAACAGCCAAAGTAGTAACGGGGCACAGCCATGCTTCCCACCACATCCCAACTATTTTCTTCAGGATCGAATCTTTCAATTGTGCTGCCAATCTCTGCTCCAACCCAACCACCTGCAAATGACAGCAAAGACAGGAAAGAATTTAATGGCATGAAGCTGTGCGTAAGCTGCATTTTTAGACAGATGGTACACTGTTTCAGGACAGAAGTAAGTTATAACTGAACAATAACTAATTCATGAAGATTTGGTATACTAACGCTCAAGTAAACAGCCATTTTTCAAAACTTGAGTTTGCAAATTCGCAACACCAAGATGTAATATTTAAGATCAAATAATTCTAAAAGTTCAATGAGTTAACACCTTTAAAATTGACTTCACCTAGAAAAACCCCAAAACTTACCCAAAGCATATATAGCACCATAACATGTGCACACTCCCAGTCCACAACGAGGGTGGTTCATGGAAGCCACAGTGCTCCACTGCTTAGTAACAGGATCATAACATTCAGTACAGTCAAAAATCATCGAGTCCTTCTCACCTGCATAATAAGAGCAAAAAAAGAGAAAAGGGAAATGCAATGTTCTGCACTGCAGGTATAAAAGTATTCTTCAGCTCCTTACAGACAACATTTGAATACAAAATCTTTCTTTTAGCTAACCAAACAGCCAAAGTAGCAAAAGCTTTGTTTATACCCAGAACTGAATCATCACAAGGAACAGCTTTCATCAACAGTTTCCCAAAACATTATTGAAAGCATCAGAGGGGCAGACAACTACAGTGCTGCACACTTTTTGCTCCGTAGCACAACTGATGGTGTTTTCAAGACCAAAGAATATGTTCCGTGATGACAAAAACAGTATACATATGTGTTTTTTAATGATGGGCTGGTAGAGCTGAGCTACTCATCACATCCGTGAGCAAACATACATAATGAGCCTTTCCAGGTAGACAGACAACAAGTGGTCTGTCTTGTACTACTGCCTTTTAGGCTATGGGCTTCTGCTAGACTACAAGTGAGAAAAGAAACGCTGTTAGTGGTGGTGCACAAAGTTCAAAGAATATCCAACTATATACTATATATCTCAGCATACCTGCACATGTCCACATGCCTACCTGTGAGTTGCTATACCATGAGGGGAGAGCAGGTCAGTAAAAAGCAGCCAACACAGGAGCCCAAACAGAGCAGTGACAGGGAGAACCAAGAATCCCCAATTCAATTGTTATTATATATAGAAGTTGTCTTATCTACTCTCGGGTTCCTGAGAACCACTTACAAGAAGAGTTCTCTGGTATCCATGTTAAAAAAAAAAAAAAAGCATATTTCAGTTGTTACCTCCAATGGCATAGACCATTCCTCCCACCACAGCCACACCGAGCCCACTCCGGGCCTGGTGGAGAGAAGACACTGTGGTCCAGTAGTGGCTGAAGGTGTCGAATCGCTCCACACAGCTGAGGGCTCTACTATCACTCCAGCGTCCTCCTTGCAGCCGGGTGTACCCACCTTGAAAATAAATGGAGAGATCACAGCTGAGTAAGAGCTTCCTGCTGTTCCCCATGCTGCTATATCCAAACCATTGGAAAAAATGATGGTAACATTCATTAGCCACTTTTAGTAGAAATTGGACTTTCCCAAGTAGCATTGTTTCTCCAGCACACAAGGAAGAATGGTTGCCTGGAGGGCCACATAACTTGTGCCTGAGTTGACCACTGTACCTCAACACTACAAATATTATCATTTGTGTTCTTAGTAAAACACAGAGACCAGCCTGTGCTATCTTAAATCAATGCTACTTCCCATAGGGTGAAACAGGAACATTCCCTTCCAACACACAGCTGCAGCCTTGCTGAAAACTTGCAATTTCTATTATCCCATCACATGAACCAAAGCATCCTGGACAGAGAAAACTTCAACCTCCAGAAGAACAAGGAGTGCAGTGAGTTTGTGTACACCATTCCAGCAGTGAACCATAGGCAAATCCTCTGCCGATTTGCACCTTTCCATCCTAGGCAAATAATTTCTAAAAGGCAAATCTAGGCTTTGAATGCCATGTCATAATGACAAGACATGTGAATGCAGGACCTTTGTGCAATTCCAAGCAGAAAACAGCTAACATGGCAACTCAGCCAGGTGAAACATTTTACTATTTTTATATCTTTTGATTAAAAAAAATAATTAATCCAGTATCTCCTTCAGTACTGTAACATGAGATACTACTTCATCACTTGTTTAACAAGGTTCAAGCAGCCACATTCTAACCTACTGCATAAAGGTACTTCCTGGCTTTCCTCCGGGGACGACCTTTAGAAGCTTGCAGAAAACTGCTGACCTTGTTCTCTTTGGGAGATTTACAGACTTCACAATATTCTTTCAACAGGGTTTGCAGGGCCACCCGAAGACTGAAATCTGGAATACCTTAAGGAAACAAGGCACAGTGAAAAGTTACAGAGGGTAAGTAAATCAGTTGTTGAAAAGTTGTTATGTTCTCCTAAACCAGCAGGCAAATCAAGATTGCCTACTTTTATAAAACTTGTTTTTAAAGAAAGCTGTGCTTATTTGTTAAAAAATAGAACTTGTTTGTTATAGAATAAGTCTTTTCACTCACACTTTTAATCTATAAATATCCAGCAAAACACAGTAACTGAACAACACATGGTTTGCTCATATACAAGCATCTGATATTCTTTCCTTTTTTCACTTACTTTCTATGTATTTTAATAGTCTTTGTGCTGGTAGCAGAGGAAATCGAACAGGATCCAGGACTTCTACGACATATTTCTTTCTTTTTCCCACATCCTTCAAAATCCACTGCATTGCCGCTATGAAAACCTGGTACTCGTCCTCGATGCTCAGGTCCTCACTTCGCAGGATCTTAATCAGTTGCTCTTTTGTCAGCGCCAGGAACTCCTCCCCGCTCTGCACCTCCAGGAAGTGTGCATGGATGTAGCTCTCGGTGAACTCCATCAAGTCGTGACAGGCGATCTGCTCGGAGAACTGGAAGAAGCCGATGCAGTTCAGCGGGTCGATCTGCCCCTTCAGGAACTCGCAGCAGAGCTCTACCACCTCGGTGAGCTGCAGCATGTCAGCGGCGACGATCAGCTCCTGAACGTTGTGTTCCCCGATGCTCACCACCCCTACGGGTATGCACATGACAGCGGGGCTCTGCTCAAGGCTGCGGCCATCAGGCAGCCCCCACCCTGGCCCGGC